GCCAAACGGGCAGTCCGCCAGCAGCGACGTGAACGGTGCGGATGCGTTGAAGAGATAGACGCAGAGGAGGCTGTCGTTGGCGCGCGCCTCGAGGTACGCTGCGAGCGGCGCGTCGCCGAGGACCACCGGCGCCAGCGCCAAGAGCGTCCACCAGCGCATGCCTGGCTTTTCTTGGTGTGAAAAAGCAAAGGTGTGAAACGGCATCCCACTCAAGGTTTGTATACCCATACAAACTTGAATCTATGCGAAATCGGGCGCTCCTCGCTCTGGGCACAGAAACTAGCTGGTAGAGGCAAGCAAGCGCACTGTAGCTCGGTCAAAATTGCAGCATCGAAAGGCTTCACTGACGCTGGATCAGTAGTGTGACGGAGCAGCGCGTAAGATAACGGATACGATGGGTAAAAATGCGGGGCAGGTGTATTTTTGAAACGCACCAACTGCACTTTGGCGCGGGATGACCGTGGTCGCGAGCGATGCGCCGATGCTCGTGCTCTTTATCGTGGGGTGGTACCTCCCACCGGTGCTCTGGATCTACTACCGCCGCGCCCGCCACATCTGCCTCAAGTACCGGCTTCCACGCCGCACCATCGTGCCCATGCTACTCTTCACGGTTTATGCGATCGTGATGCCAGCAACAAGCGTCTTTGGGAAGGACTGGCCGAGCATTGGGAGCTACGTCCTGACTTTTATCGTGATTCCGATGGCACTGTACTACCGCCCGATGATCCGACAACCAACAGCTCATCCTCGGTCGTCGTCCTAGGGTCTTCTTTATCATTACCGAGACCATGATTGTTGTGCTCTTCCAAATCACCGAGCTGCTCATGCTGCCCCAGTCCAGCACGCCGCGCAAAGTCCGACGACTCATTTTGTACCGATGGCTGCTGCACCCGCCGATTCAGATCTTCCTCGCCGCACTCGTCCTCGTCGGGCTCGTCACACCCTTCTTGCGTGTGGATGCCAAGACACTCTTCCTTCCCGACGCGGTCGGGACGGTCTCGCCGCAGTACCAGGTGCGCTTCCTCAACCTTTCAAAAATTGGACATCATGAGGACTAGGAGTTGACATTGATCCTCATTGTCGAAGTCGTCTGCCTCCTCCTGCTCGTGCTGATCCTCTCGTGGTACATCAGCCACGTCGTCGACAACTTTGGGCTCCGTCGCTCGTACCAACAGACCTTCCGCGGTATCATCCTCATCCTTGTCCTCATTGTGCTTGCGCGCGTCGCCGCAGACGGCGTACAGGACGACACGCTCCGGAGCTGGAGGCTCCCGAGCTTCTTCTCGGTCGTGGGGGCGCATACGATGCTCTATTTTCATGTCTTCTTGCCCGTGCGCGCGATGCGAGCGTCACGTACGCATCCTCGTAGAAGAAGGACTCGAACGATGTTATTTCTACCTTTTCGTAGGCGACGCCACGCTGCGCCGCGTGCAGCGGTCACCGTCGCGGATCCATCCGCACAGCATGCTCGAGAAGAAGGCGATTTTGGAAAAGTTCTTGATGGACGAGCACCGGTTCCGGAATTTTTTGACGTTTGCGCGCATGGAGTATACGACCGAGCCGCTTCTGGCGCTGCAAGCGATCACTGCCTTTGAAGCCGGCGAGCCATCGCTCAGTGCCGCCTCGCGCCTCGTGGCGCAGTGCCTCTCGCCCCGCTGCGAGCTCGAGACGGAGGTCGGCAAGCGATTAAGTCTTGCGTACCACGACAAGCTCGGCGACTTACGCAACGCCGACGCACCGCGGACGCCGCCTCAGTTCTTCCACGCGTTTCGCCAAGAGCTGTTGGTGTGGATTCTGCACGAACTCGTGCCCGCGTTTACGGAACACCCGCTCGGCGTCGAGTACGTGGCGTTCATGAGGCTCGAAAAGTCCATGGACCGGCTCAACGTCGTCTTGGCGTGCGTTGAAGACTTGGACACGAGCTAGGAAAAACACCTTGAACGATTTGCGTCCACGCATTCGATCGGACGGGCCGCTTTTGTCTGCGCTTAGGCCTCAAAACCGACCCCTCGGTGAGTAGTTCGTTCAGGAAGCATACACTATTACCATATATGCTGGCTAAGGCCCTCTCAACCATGTTGCTCCCAAGCCAGCCGGCTAGAGCATCCTTACTATAGTGCGACGGAAGATGCCACCGGTGGAGCGCGCTGCGGCGATCGTTGATGAATGCGAGCATAACTCGAGAGTGACAAGCTTGCACCGCACGGCGACGACGACTAATTTACAACTCTATCCAGGTAGGAACTTCCGACGAGCGTACGGTTTGAAAGAAGCAGAAAATTGCTGGTGACAAGGGAACTGGTTGAAATTCCCTTGTGGCGTTCGCACCAACTTGGTACTGCAGTGCCACCGAACGATTTGTCATTACCGCGATGTGTACGACCTCTCTTCTATTCTGATATCATAGTGATACCCGCCGACATTGTGTATGGTATATACAGGTCGGATGGACTTGGGCCATACCGCTGGCAGCAACGATGAGCGCTCGGTCGTCTTGTTGGAGTAGTGTACTGGATACGGCAATTCCGTTGGCATCGTTGTCACCCGCGTATCCGTATCCGGATACGCCGTGGGCGGGAAGCGCATTTTATCCAATCAGCGCGCGTTTTTCGTATTCTTTTCGAGCATTCTTTTGGTTTCAACGTCCCTTTCTTTTCTATTGTATTAACCTTGTATGTATTTTAAAGCATGGTCGTATGAAAAGAAATACGCCGGGTGCAAATTATTGAATCCGGGCCCGCGACCGGTCATTTCCGGACTGACCATGGCCGACTCGATTGCGGCGCAGCGGCTCCGGCAGGAGCGCAAGAACTGGCGCCGGGACCACCCCGCGGGCTTCTGGGCGCGGCCGGTCGCGGCCGACGATGGCAGCCTCAACATCATGGTGTGGCAGGCTG